ACCACTTGTGGGCGCACTTAACCTCAGAAGTACGTTTTATAAATACATAATTTCCTATTTAATGTTTTATGGAAGAACACTGGGTAACGCTGCGTTTCCTCCCACTCCTAGTCAGATTGTAGAACACACCTGTGATCTGTGGAATGTAGCTTGGGAGATAGTGTAGCAGGAGGAGCTCTGGATTTGAGCTTAGAGACTTGGGTCTTCATCCTGGCTTTGCAGCTTCCTAGCTTGGTGAGCAGAGACCTTGTCTTTGAGCTTCTGCTTTTTCTTCTGTAAAAGAACATGAACTAGTTGATCTCTAAGCTTCATTACTGCTCCGCAGCTAGTTGGCACCCTAGTGCATAGAGCGCTGAGCCTGGAGTCAGGAAGACCTGAGCTCAAATCTGGTCTCAGACACTTCCAAGCTGTGTGACCCCTGGCAAATCACTGAACTCTGTTTGCCTCAGTTTCCTCATCTGTAAAATGAGCTGGAGAAAGAAATGGCCAACCACCCCAGTATCTTTGCCAAGAAAACCTCACATGGGGTCACGAAGAATCAGATACAACTGAAAAACAACTAAACAAAAGTTTGATTACTGTTCTTAATTCTATGAAACACTGTAGCAGGTTCTTTTTTCTGATTTGCTTTGCCCACATTACCCCTGGCCAGTAATCTTGTAGGGAGATCTGCCTGGCAGTGGAGTTCAAGATAGATTGAAGGGGAAAGATTAGAGGAGGAGCTGCAGAGGGACAAAAGCAGAAATCCAGGAGTGAGGATTCTTTCTGAATCTCTGTGATAGCATCTCTTCTTCCTTTTTGAAGTTCCACCGTGTCTGTGCTCTTTTATCTTGGGTCATAGGGTTTACAACTAATAATCTGAGAATTAGCAAGTAATTTGCAAAGCAGTTTAAGACCCTTGCATTAAAAAAAAAAATCTAGGGGCAGTTAGGTGGTGCAGTGGATAAAGCACCAGCCCTGGAGTCAGGGGAACCTGAGTTCAAATGTGGCCTCAGATGCTTGACACTTACTAGCTGTGTGACCCTGGGCAAGTCACTTAACCCTGATTACCCAGTCTGTCCTGTCTATCCCCACCCCCAAAAAATCTAAAATTTAAGTATCAAGTCATTTTTTTTTAACTCAGGTACATTATTGTATTTTTGTTTTATCTGTTCTGCCTTGCGTGTCAGCAGGGTAAAAGGCTGCCAGGCAGCTGGTCCCACTCATGGATAGTTTGGTATGAACAGGTGTTGCCTCAGCACGGTGTTAACTTCTATGCTTCCTAGAGGCATTCTTTATCCCTACCCCATGGATGCTTTTGGAGTAGCCCCTACTTTCTAATATCTGTATGTCAGAACTGGAGGTAGTAGGGCACCTTCGCTGCCAATTTAATATGTCTATATACTACAGGTTATTTTTGATATACCCAATTATAGTATGTTTGAATTTTTTCTCCCCCTTTAAAGATTAATTTGACCGATCCTGCCAGATAAGTGCAGATGAGGAGGTAGGGGCTTTGAGGAGCACTTTTGTAACCTTTTCTTCCTTCTAATACCAGCAATAATTGACATTTATGTTGTGCTATACATATGTAGTCAGTTACTATTTTGATGCTTTTCGATTTACAAAAAAGTTTTCAATACATTGCCATGTTTGAGCCTCACAGTAACATAGCCCTCTTGAGGAGTTAGATATAGGACAGGTGTTACTTACATTTTACAGGTGAGGAAATTGAGCCAAGATTCAAAATGTATTATTTTCAGTGACTCCTCATCCAGTGTTCATTCATACAGCTGACTCAGTGTACTACCAAGTTCATATTTTCTCTTCATTAATAACCACCACCTATATACAGAGAACCTTAGTGCTTTTTGGTCTCTCATTCCTACCACCCTAATAGTGTAGAGTATCCCTTATTTAGGGAGGGTTATAGAGAATATGCATTTTGGTGGTATTTGTCATCTTTTTAAACAGCAATGACTCTTTGACCATTTCTTTTACTGACCTAGATATAATTTGTTATGGCATTGAAGGCCTACCTTAATCTGGTCCCTAGTTCTCTCACTCTTCTCTATATAAGTGCTCGCTCAATTGCGAGCACGTTCTCTCTCTCTGTCTCTGTCTCTCTCTCTCTCTTTCTCTCTCTCTCTCTGTCTTTTTCTCTTTCTTTGCTTTTTGATGAGGCAGTCGAAGTTAAGTGACTTGCTCAAGTCACACAGCTAGTAAGTGTCAAGTGTCTGGGGCCAGATTTGAACTCGGGTCCTCCTGACTGCAAGGCCGGAGCTCTATGTAAGCTCTTTCTAGCAAGACAGATTCATTGGCTATATCTTGAGCACACTTGACCCTTACTTAACTCTGGGAATTTGCTTATTCACACTGTTCAACTTACCTCAAGTGGATTCTTCCCTTCTCCTTTTTCTGATAAAGTTTTACCCAGATCCTCTTGCTTTTACATGACCCTTCCTGACCTCTCCATCCTGAAGTGATCTCCCTTCTCTGTTTAACACAATTCATTAATTCTTGCATTGGCTTGATTGTAGGAGTAAAAACCACCTTATTCAATGGGTCCCTGAGCAGAAGGATCCAATTAGGGCCATTCAGTTCATTCCTAGGTCTGGTGATGAACAGTGTTTGTCAGAAGATCAGTCAGATGAGTTTGGTTGGGGTTTTCATAGGCTGACATTCATGTGGTGGATGTTTTAACCTTGGCAACTGTCAAAAGATAATCTTCTTAGTCCCCGAAGGGTTGTGTGATCTGTGTTAGGAGAGGAGGGAATACCCGTATTGAGGACCTGTGAGCCATAGAAAATATGTTAGACATAGTCCATACCCCAGAGTAGTTTACTCTCTACTAAGGGTGATATTTCTGTACCTGAAACAATTAGGCAATAATAAAAGATGAGTTGCCCATCTTTCAGTAGGACAGGAGAGTGCTGTTGGGAAGAAGAAGAGCTACTGAATTGAGAATCAGAAGACCACAGTTCTAATCCAGGCTCTGCTATTAATGCTATGGCACCTCTCTGAGCTTGAATTTCATCTGTTAAGTGAGGGCTTCAGACTAAGTCATCCACGAAGCCATTCCTAGCTCCAACGTTCTATGAAACATAGGATCTCAGATTTAGAGCAACCTCTTCACCTTTCATGTAAGGAAATTGAAGGCCCAGAGAGGTAACCTTTGTCCAAGGCCACATAGATAACCTTGGTGCACCCAGGATTCAAACCCAGTTTCTCTTTGAGTCCAAAGTCAGTGTTGTTTCATACAGTAGAGGAGGGGGCGAATGATCACCTCTTCAAACCACTTAATATCAATAAAGTAGAATACATCTAGGAAATAGAGCAGATCAAGGAGAGGAGGGTCGCTTTAATCCATGGGGATACAAAGACAAACAAAATCTCCTTGCCCTCAAGGAGCTTGTCTCCTAGGAACTGCTGGGAATGTTTAATTATTGGAAAGAAGACAGGTGTGGGGGCCGGCGGCAAGAATAGGAAGGGATGCCAGGTGGAAGAAGGTTTGGAAGAGGAGTCCTGTGGCTACAGAAGGGCAACTGAGAAACAATAGGTAGAAGTTATAGAAAAGCAGATTTTTACTCAGTGTGTATAAACTCCCTAGAGAGTCCCAGAGTAGGATGGTGAGAGTGAGCTCCCCTTTACAAGAAGTCTTCAAGCAGAGATCAGACTAGCACTCATCAGGGACACATGTTGTGGACATTCATTTCCTGTGTAAATAATTGATTGGAGCAACTACTTTTGAGGTTCCTTCCAATTCTTGAGATCTTGAATACTATAAGTATCAAATGCTAGAGCTCCTGCAGCACTTCTCAGGGTAGAGGAACCTTAAAAATGTAATTAGAAAATATTTAATCAGATAAATAAAAGTACAGTAGAACATAGATGATATTAATATGTGGTTTTCCAGACCTTTTTTGGGGGGGGTGCAATTGGGGTTAAGTGACTTGGCCAGGGTCACACAGCTAGTAAGTGTTAAGTGTCTGAGGCCGGATTTGAACTCAGGTCCTCCTGACTCCAGGACCAGTGCTCTATCCACTGTGCCACCTAGCTGCCCCTTAATGTGTAGTTTTCTAATTCATGATGTGTCTCACTCCCCTCTACCTCCAGTTTCTTTTTGAGTTTTCTGCCCCTGGCCTGTAGAGTTGTTTGTTATTTATAAGGATTTCAGGTAGAGGATACATCCAGATTTCTCTCCCTATCCTGTACAAATGTAAGACGTCACAAGGGAAGAACATCTGTGCTTGGCACAGTCTGGGTTATTTATCGAGCTTGGGACACAAACTGCCAAGGAGCCATGTTAAAATAGAAACTCTTGTCTTTGCTAAGGTGGCTGGATCTGTTGGGATTTAGGTTTCTCCACCCAACTGGCCTTTATTTTTTTCACCTACATTTGTTAAATCAGTTGTAAAATAAACCCTGAGTATGTGCTTACTTTTCCCAAGTGTCCTAAGGCATGTTGGTCCATGCACCATATGCTTACATAAGTCAGGTCTCTTTATTGTGTCTCTCCTTCCCCTCCTGGGAAATTAAGAGACTGGGCTTGACCACACAGTACAGGGGATATTGTGGGGTCCATTGCAGACCACTGCATTAAAGTGAATATCGCAATAAAGAGCAGTGATATCAGACTCAGAAACAGGGTGACAGGATCCCCATGGGCACATTGTGACTTAGAAGACCACATATTAACATTATCTATGTTCTTTATTTTGTTAAATATTTCCCAATTACATTTTAATCTGGTTTGGGTGAACCTAGGGAGTGTTGGGGACCAGAGCATAAAGCCCAAGGGCTGCCTATTACCCACCTCTGGGTTAGGGGATCTCTAAAATGGCCCAGCTCTGGCATTCTACAATTAGCCTATTTAAGATGAAGTGGAATCAAGGTGGGGGCCAGCAGTGTCATTCTACAACGATTGCACTCTCTTCTGTGACGAAAACACTTTGTAAATAAAGTATTATACAAATGTGAGTTGTTATTAGGAGCATGGTCTAACTTGCTTGTTGTTCCAGGGAAAACCAGATTTAAATACAGCACTCCCTGTCCGGCAGACGGCGTCCATCTTCAAACAACCTGTTACCAAGATTACTAACCATCCCAGCAATAAAGTAAAGAGTGATCCACAGAAGGCTGTGGATCAGCCTCGACAGGTGGGACTCACAGACTTGGGCATTGCATTTGTCCTACTCTGAGTAAGGCTCAGTCGTCGAATGGTGTGCTCTTCCCCCGGGAAGTTTATGTCACAGCAGGAGAGAGCCAGGCATGGTGGATTGGAAAGGATGAAACAAACCTGCGTGCTAATCCTGGCTCTGCCACTCACTTGTCAAGGGACCACCTTTGCTTCTGGGGCCTCAGTTTCCCTGTCTGGAGTTGTCATGTTATCGCCATGTTACGGATGAGGAGTTTCCTCACTGCACTAGCTGGCATACGGTTAGCTGTCTGGTTGCTGGTGCTCTCAGTTCATAAATCCTAGTGTTTCCCCTGCTGTGTCTTGTGCTGCACCTGAGGGAGCTGCTTCCAGCGTCTCGGATGCCAGCCTAGTTCACTTTGGATGTGACCACACTGTATTGCCCGGGACTTGAATTCCTACCTAGACCATTTGTTGGGAGCTCTCAGAGCTGCACTTCTCTCTGACAATTTTAGGTCTATGCTCTTTGTGACCTCAGTAGGCTTAGCACATCAGTATGGCAATGTTGCCAGCCCAGGGAACACGAAATCAGGTCGATTCACAGCTTGGGTCTTCCTTATGTAACATGATGCATAGCTCCCATCAGGCTGCTTCATGACTGCTTTTCCATTATCCTGAATGTAGGACGGTCTTAAGGATCAAAACTGGTTGTGGATTTTTTGTGGAACATAGAATTTTAGGGCTAAACAGGGATGTTAAAGATCATCTGATCCAACCCCTTCTTTGCAGATGGGAAAACTAAGGGGAAGTGACCTCACTACATTTACAGATCAATGACTGGGGACAAATCTGATCATAGAACCCAAGTCTCCTGATTCTCAATGTAGTATTCTTTCCACTTGACCACACAGTACAGATAAACCTTAGGGATATTGTGGGGTCCATTGCAGACCACTGCATTAAAGTGAATATCACAATAAAGTGAGTCTCACAAATTTTTTTGTTTCCCAGTGTATATAAAAGTTAGGTTTACTTTACTTTAAAGTTTACTGTAGTCTGCTAAGTAGTTTGCAGTATTATGTCTAAAAAATCAATGTACAGACCTTAATTTAAAAATACTTAATTGCTTAAAAAAAAAAAACTTAACCATCATCCGAGTCTTCAACAAATTGTAATTAAAAAAAAAAAGACAAAAATGAAGTTTACCACATTGACTGACTCTTTCTTTCACTTGAATACTTAGAAGCCATTGTGGGGTTATTAATTGGCCTAATTTCAAAATTGTTGTATCTCAGAGAATAAGGAGGCCCAAGGAGAGGGAGGAAGACAGGAGTGGCTGTTCCATGGAGCTGTCAGAACACACACGACATTTATCCTTCAAGTTTACTGTCTTACGTGGGCACAGTTTGTGGCGCCCCAAAACAATCACAATAGTTACATCAAAGATCACTGATCCCAGACCACATTGACAGAGATAATAATGAAAAAGTTTGAAATGTTGTGAGAATTACCAAAACATGCCACAGAGATATGGTGGCAGCATGTGTTGTTGGAAAAATGGCACTGATAGACTGGCTTTGCCACAGACCTTTAGTTTGCAAAAAACACAGTCTCTGGAGGGCAGCTAGGTGGCGCAGTGGATAGAACACCAGCCCTGGATTCAGGAGGACCTGAGTTCAAATCCGCCCTCATATACATAACACTTACTAGCTGTGTGACCCTGGGCAAGTCACTTAACCCCATTGCCTAGCCAAAACAAAAAACCTCACAATATCTGCAGAACACAGTCATTCAAAGTGCAGGTCTACCTGTATTAACTGTTGAGAATATTGGAAATAGAACTGGTTCATTTTGGACTAATAAAATGCAAAACTGGAAAGGGAATGATAATAAAGAAGAGTATTCTTATAGACAAGCAGATTACGTGGCCATTATAGTACATATGAGATTCTATCCTTAGACGGAAGAGCTATTATATTAATATTCTAAGTACAGAAAAAAGATGTATTAAGGAAATTGAATGTGTACCAGCTAAATATGAGAGGATTTGCTTTAGTAAGCTTCCACGAAGCTGCTATTTTACAGAGAAAAATAGGGGGTGTGGAAGAGCTGCAGACAGGTACAGGAAGAGGGTCAGTGTGAACAGGACAGCAGTTAGGATGTTTTACAGTTAACTGACATCTTTTCTTCCTCTCCTTGCTATGTTTCCGCAAAAAAGTATAAACCTTATCTCCCCAGGGGCCTAAGGTAGCCTCTTCTGGGCAGCTGCTATTTCAGATGAGCCACCTAATGTAACATTATCTTCTCCTCCTCGGGCCCCCCTCCCCAGTCCTTAGGCAGCCTGTTCTCTTAATAACCCAGGCCAGCTGCCTGAATTCTGTTTGATTTGGGGCTTTTTGTATAATCAGGGTCTCCCTTGAGTTGCCTTTTTTAAAAACTGTGTAAATAAACATAAATGTTTTCTTTGATAGCTTTTTTGGGAAAAGAAACTAAGTGGATTGAATGCCTTTGACATTGCAGAAGAGCTTGTGAAAACAATGGATCTTCCTAAAGGTTTACAAGGTAATTAGTAACTGTTTTTGACTGCCTGTTGAACTTGTAAATTTTAAGAACATCTTTTCTCTGTTTTGTGAACTTTCACATTACACTTCTCCTGCATTGACTATTAGGCATGGAGAAAAGCTTTACTATGGAGAATGCATAGAACACAGAAGGTCAGAGCTGGGAGGGCATTTAAAGCTGTATCAGAACCAGGAGGGCCTTTGAAAGAGTATCTTCCAGGTGAAGAAATGGAGGCTCAGGGAGCATTTAGCCTAAAACTGCACAGGGAGATAGTGGCAGAAGCAATCTTAGAACTTAGATTTTCTGACCCCCATGGTGCCCCATTGCTATTTTTTATTTATGCCTGTGGGTTGATTTTTAGCTTTGAATTGAGTTTTGGATAATGGCTGATGAAGACACTAGCAAGGATGTTTAAGAAGTTAGCCTGACTTAATTTAGCAAATTTAACTTCATCTCTCCTTAGAAAGGTGGTGGTTCAAAGAGAGAATCCTTGCATATATGAAAGAATATAGGAAGGGTTTCTATGTATAAAGAATTCCTTGGTGTGGAATTTGGTAACTCCTTAGAACATGTGGAATGTGGGAGGATTAAAACTGTTAGAGTTTAATTCTGTATCCTACCTTAAATGTAAGCCATCACTCCATTGCTATGGAAACAGGCAGTTCCTTTTCTCACCATGGCTGAAGGGCTATACAAAACTTTGTACTTTATTTGGTCTGGTAACATTTGAAGTAGATAAGCAGACCACTCACCCCACAGGACATTACCCCCACCAACTTTGTTTCTCAGTAACATCATTAACACATCGTAACTGAAGCCTTCTGTAAAAGCATTGCTGGGACAGCCGGCCCAAGATGGGGGCTTGGAGTCTCCTCAGCAGTGATCTCAGCTGGGCCTTCAGCCTTAGAAGCAGTCATTCATTCTCCTTAGCATCAACTTATGAACTTACTCAGCTACTAGCTAGACTTCTCCCTCCCCCAGGTAAAGCTGTTTCTCTGATCCTGTTCTTAGAGAACAGTTAAATATCTGGAAAATTATAGTATCTCTGTGACTGAAATTTAGTATTTAGTTGTATTGCCTTTAAACAAAACTTTAGCAGCAGTATGAAGTTTGACCATCTGGTGGTGGTGAAGGGAGTTGAAGGAACTTAGGATTTTGCTTTTTTTTTTTTTTTTTTTAATACTATGTAATGACTTTTATGGAGCAAGTTGATTCATCAGCTTTTTTTTCTTTCTGGTAAATTGTGTCCTGCAGGGGTTGGCCCAGGTTGCACTGATGAAACCCTCCTCTCTGCCATTGCCAGTGCTTTGCACACGAGCACAATGCCCATCACTGGGCAGCTCTCAGCAGCTGTCGAGAAGAACCCTGGGGTATGGCTTAATACCTCCCAACCACTCTGCAAAGCCTTCATGGTGACTGATGAAGATATCAGGTAATGGAAAATGCATTAGAAATTACTTTGGGCAGTCAGATGCTCTATGTAGACATGTAACACAAGCTCTACTGCTCACCTGCAGTGAGTATAAATCTGGTTCATCATTCTGCATTTTGAATCTTATACACAAAATTCAAGCGCTTAATTTCATAAATGAGAAAACTGAGGCTTGAAAAATATAAGTCAATTTGGCTACCCCATTCACCTCTCCAAAAAAAAAAATGTAGCAGCAAGTAGAGAGATAAACTAGGTTCAGATTCTCAAGAGATGGGAGTTACGACTTCCTATGTGGTTGGTGATATCGAGTAACCTAATGGATGAAGCATTGCGTATCCAGGCCCCAAGGTTTGTCTGTTCAGGTACTGCCTGGGATGGTACAAACTTTCATCACTGGTATTGCCTACTTGTCTAATAGGACAGTAAACTGAATGAAGGCTGGACCGTGTCACTGTGTCTCAGCTAAACGTTGTGTTTTCCCCACCCACGTAAGAAGTGGAGCCTGGGACTTTGGCCTTAGAACTCCTCCTCCCATGAATCAGCGTTTCCACCATTATGAAGCCCAAGTGTTTCTAGATTCAGTAACCCAACAGAATTGGAGTCTATAGAATAGACTGTTAAGACAGTCTGCTTCGGTGAGAGGTACCTCCTCCCCCAGTTTTGGCAAGGGTAGGAGAGAAGGGAGACTTTGCAAGCCGTCTTATTCCTCAGGTCCTTAGTGCTGCTTTAAGACAAACCTGAAATTTACCCAGCCCCCAGTTTGGTAAAATGTAATGGACCACTTGGGCAGTTGGTCCTATACTGACTGGACAGGGTGTGCTGGTATGTCTTACTGCAGTCACTGGGGTCAATTAGAACACTTGGCTTGGAAGACCTGTTATCTCCACTGTCATTGTGTGAGCTTGGGCAAGGTGCTATACCTTCAGAATCAAAGAATGCCTGCCCTGCCTGCCTGTTAACTTAAGGAGCCAATGAAGTGATGCTATGGGGGGAGGGGCCGGGCGGGGCAAGGTGGGCGGTGGGGGTGTTCCTAAGGGCTAATTTAAGAGGCTGACATCTAGTTTGGTATAATGGTGAGAGGCCTGGATTCTGAGTTGCGAGACATGGGTCCATGCTCTGATAATAACTTATTTGTATGATAAATTAGGTTACTCATTCAACCTTTCTGGGTCTTCACTTCCTTTACAAAATGTGGGGACTAGACTAAATGATCTCCTCCAACTCTAACACTGTATATTCTGACATTGCATGATAGCACCTTCCCTGGTTTAGTATTGTTAGAGTAGTGTTTTCCAAACTGTATCCTGTAGAACCCTGACATTCCTTGGAATGCCATAATGAAATGTAAATAATGTTAGTTTAAAAAAAATATCAAGTTGTATCTCTCAAATATATAATATGTACATTAATTTTTACTTTATGGATAAAACTTAATTTTGTCCATCTTGCTCTAAAATTTCTCACTTTATCCTTGGGAATATTATAGAATGGCACTCTTCCCTCAGCCCCAAGGACTAAATACTATAAATGAATAAAGTCTTAGATTTGGAAGGACCTCAGAAATCCTGTGGTACAACTCATACCTCATGCCCAATTCCCTGTAACAATCTCCTTGGCAAGTGGCTCTCTAGCCTCTACTTAAACATCTAGTTAGTGGGATCTCATTATAACAACCCCTCAAATATTTGAAGACATTCTGCACCCTCCACCCCTGGCCAAGTCTGTTCTTTTGTAGGATAAACAACCAGTCTCTTTTTTTTTTTTTTTTTTTTTTTTAAGGCAGTTGGGGTTAAGTGACTTGCCCAGGGTCACACAGCTATTAAGTGTCAGGTGTTTGGTCTGAGGCCGGATTTGAACTCAGGTCCTCCTGACTTCAGGGCCGGTGCTCTATCCACTGCGCCACCTAGCTGCCCCAACAACCAGTCTTCATGGGACCTGGGTTGGGTTTTGTTACCTTCGTGGTTGTCCTCCCTCTGAACTTTTTTGTAGTTTGTCAATGGCCCTGCTAAATGTGTGATGCTCTTATTGTAACAATAGCACTCCAAGAAATGATATGCCAATCTAATTGGCAAGATTCTTTTACTTAAGGTCTTAGGGCCACCTGTTAAAGGTGAGAGGGGCATCTTTGGCCAAGGTGCGTAGAGCTCGCTGCTCTAGCTGTAGCCAGAGGAAGCCACTTGGGAGGCTTCCCTTCCTCATCTGAGAGTGTGGGCAGTAGTACAGGGCTGTGGTGCTTCAGTCAGGTGCTGAATACCACATTCAGTGGCAAAAACTTGGGTTCCTAATGATGATGAAAATAGCTTCCAAGCAAAAGTCACTAAATACATATAAAATCATGATTTAAAAACGTCAGTTCTCAAGTATGACTTAAGAAACTTAAGTGAGTGTTTAGACAACTTTGCTGTACCGGACCCACTATTTGCACTGTTTGGCTGTAGAGCCGATCGAGCACCAGAGGTAACTGACTGTGATCTTTGTTCTGAGTCAGGAAACAGGAAGAACTCGTGCAGCAGGTGAGAAAGAGGCTGGAGGAGGCCCTGATGGCCGACATGCTTGCTCACGTGGAAGAGATTGCCAGGGATGGGGACGCCCCTGGAGAGAAGGGGGCTGCAGAAGAGGAGGAGGAGGAAGAGGAGGAAGAGGAGGAGCAGGACCAAGACCACGAGATGGAGACTGTATAGTCCAGGTGAGACCAGCACTCCAGGGGGCTGTATGTGGAGGTTTCCTCACATTCTCATTTAAGTGTGGAAGAATGGGGGCGTGGGAATGAGTGTACATATAAGGAGGCAGAGGGATCTAATTAATGTTTGTGATTTGTTTTATCAGAGACTTAATCTCTTGAGTCCAAGAGATAAATGACCCATGTTTTTGAGTGTCTATGTAATGTATTAACTGCATATCTTTAAAGGTTTACAAAGCACATTACTCAAACAGCCCTGTGGGATAGGTAGTAGGTATGTTGTCCCTATTTTACAGTTGAAGCAGCTGAGGCTCAGACTTGGTACACACCCTGGTCTCCTGTGCCCTTCCCTCCCCAGTCTAGACCTCTGTCTGCCAGATCATACTGCCTGGCAGTAGCTATGCCTGTGTTATGCCTTTCCCCTTTTCTTTCCTTGTCTAGATAATTCCTATAGATGTCTTTGTAGTGTAACATTTATGACCATAAGGTTTTTTTAAAAATGATAAATAGAAGAAAATTAAACTGAGGTGGGTATTTAGCACTGAGAAAAGAAAAATGGCTAAAACATCAATAATTAGATTAACACACAATGTCAGTTAAAGCTTTCACACAACTACTGGAGCATGATTTATTGAAGCTTAGCACTGTTCTTGGCATGTAGTAATCAACTAATAAATGTGGTTAGAGAAACGTGATGGAGTGGGAAGAGTTTGGGACTTGAAGTCAGGACAGACTTAGACTCCAGTGTTCACTCTGTGTTGTGAAACTCGACTGAGATGGTGTGTGAATAAAAAATGCTTCGTCAGACTTAAAGCCCTATGGGAGTGTTTATTATAAAAGGGGAGAAAATGAAAGCTCTTCACCATTTTTGTTGCAGAGCAGTTTTCATATTCCAACCAGTATGATTTAAAGACCTTTCATATGATAAGAATCCCTAATAAGAATAATTTGTTTGTTGGAGAGGGCAGTCTCAGCACAGGTGCTTGTCAGCTAATTGTTAGCTGATGGAACCTAGTTGAACATTTTCCAAGTAGACAATCAAAATTTCAGGGTTGGAAAGGACCTTAGAGGGCATGTAGTCCTGACCCCCTCCCCAGTCCACAGTAAATGGTCATCCAATTTAAAGACTTCCAGTAATGGGGCCCCCCCCCAAGGCAGTCTGTTTTACTGGACAGTTCCTAACTGTTAGAAGGTTCTTGTGTTAAACTAGAATGTGTCTCCCTCTTACCTCCTCGTTCTGCCTTCTATAGGACCAAACAAAATTAGTCTTTTCCCTTTTCCCCATGACAGCTGTTGACACATTTGAAGCTAGCTGTGATGTGTGTGCCCCCTAACTCTTCTTTTTCCAGGCTCGGTGTTCCGCAGTTCCTTCATCGAGTCCTTTCACAGTATGGCTGTGAGTCCCTGCCCTGTCCTGGTCGCCTTCACTTGGCCTGAGACTCTAGCTGGCCAGTGTTCTTCCCCAGATGTTGCCCCCTGAATCAGACAGAATCTTCCAGAGAAAGGACGAGTAGGATTGAGCTCAGTGGGATTCTCTGTTGAGCATACAGTTTAATCAGAGTGGAACTGCATGTAAAGCGAAATTTAATGAAAGCGTTTTCTGTTGTATTTTTCTTTTCCAGGAAGATCCAGCCAAGATTGACATGTAAAGCAGCAGCAGGGCCAGCACAACCATTCCCAAAGCCAGGCGTGTCCAAGGACTAACCCATATCTACCATACTTAGGAACAAGCTCCCTTGACCACTAGAGGAAAGAGTTGGGCATCCGAGAGTAACTATTTACTCTTCTGAAAGACATTTCCCCTCTTTTCCCTTCCCACATCAAAGGTGGGGAGGAGCTACACGGGTTTGTGCTAGACACACAATCTCCCCTTCTTATTTAGGGGTCACTAATTCAGTATGGTCAGTTTTCCCAGGGCTTTGGTACCTTTTACCTTTTGACCTAGGTTCAGCATTTTCTCTCTCCTTCTGGGTCTTTTTTAAAGTAAGAGAGGTTCTTCGTTGCTTGGCCTCTCCCCAGTAACCTGCTTGATAATCTCCAACTCTTAAGAGCCCATTTTCATCTTTCAGATTGTTGTTCCATATGTGAATTCAGGTCATTGAATTTTATGCCCAGACTGATCTCGGGGAAGGGCAGGGAGTCAAATAAGGGTGTGACACTCTTCCAACCTGCTTTTCCCAAACCCAATGTCAGAATTTCTTTATGAAATGTTTAGAACTGAAGCTAGTATAAACTGGGAAGATCTGCAGGAATCAGATTCACCTGTCCTGCTAAATGTCTTCAAACTTACTCTACTTCTGTATTGTCCTTACTTTTTTCTGCGTTGTGGAACTAAGCCGCCAACAGAGACATGCTCCTAGAGTAGTCTGTTCCCGGGGTCCTCAGCATCCCATCGGTGGGGTAGCAGAAGAGAGAAGTGGTCTATGAAAATGCTCAGTGTGGTTACTCCAGTGAGGTTGGGGAATGCTTCCAAGCAAAACAGAAGATCCAGTGGTAAGAAGAGAGAGACTTGATTCTGGTGCCAGGACTTCCGCCCCTGCAGGAGAGGAGATGTGGAAGGCATCACCTTTAGTTTGTTTGCATGACTACACAGTACGTGAAGCTGTGATAGTCTCACCCTCCTTTTTAAAAAAAGTTCACCTTTCTTTAATAAATTGATAATATCAACTGAATAGAATCCTTTTTTGAACATTTTAACCTTTTGTATTTGATGTGCATTGAAGTGAACTTTGGCCTTTGTTGAAGAAAAATGAAATGTATTCAAACTGCCTTAATGGAGTTCTGAATCCTCAGTTGGATATGGGAATCTGGAACTCTTACCCCATCTCTCTATGCAGCTGCTTGAGATCCAGACACAGACGTAATTGTGGGCACAGATTGTCCCTCTCCTCCCTCTTCTAGCATGAGTTGCTTAGGGGTATGGGGAGTGACAGCCCAGATATCTTCTGGCACACACTTCTCACCTGTAGGCTCTGCCATGATCTTGTGGGCAGTTTAGAGGACAATATTTATTAGAATTACAGAGCTGGAGAACTAAGAGATCGCCTTATCAAACAAGTGACAAAACATATTTGGTGAAGTGAAATGAGAGGTAAATGAGTGACTTGTGCAAGGTCACCCAGCTAGATAGTACTGAGGCAGGAAAGCTGCCTCAGGCATAATGGGCTAGTGTATCATACCCCTTAAGGACCATGTCATGTGTTTCCATCTAACAACTTAAGATTTTTTTTTTCAAGAGATATTTTCCCTGTTTAGCACTTGAGAAAGCCTCAGGCATTTCCAGAAAGATATTACCACTCTGGTATCTAAGAACACTAATATTCAACTGCCTCAAGAAAGGTCATACTGTTTCAATCCCCTGCCCCATCACCCCTCAGTTCTGTGCCTCAGAGTGCCTCGTGAAGAAGGGCCCGTTAACTACAATGGCCACTACTGTGGGTGGGGATAAAGATGCTCTTCCACGGACCGAGTGATTTCTTTTTCTGCTGGGACTTTACTGGCAAGAGAGAAGACTTGGAGAACATCTGTCTTCTCTGTAGTCAGAGGACGCCCGCTACAAGATGCAAGTTCTCCCTTCCTTTTGGAAGTTTAAATTGAAACCAGCATTCTTCTGTCTTGGCAACATGAATATTTTTCTGCAGACCATCTTGCTGCCCCCACATCTCCTTCCAGTTTCTGACACAAAAACTCAAATGGGGAGATCCACTCTGGAGGACAGTCTGATGTGCCAGCCTCCAAAGGGTGAAGTCTGAGAAGGCACCAGACAGGAGCAGCAAGCCTTTTCCTTGCCTGGCCTCCTCTAGCTAGACCTGGACAAGTGTGGAACTCTCCTGGGCTGGTGTTTTCAGGATTTTTACTGAGTGTGGAGATGCCTGTGAGACAACTCCCTGCCGAGGTCTGCGTTCTTGGTATAATGAATTGTAGATTGGACTGGACTGGACTGAGGGAGTTGTCAAAAATTAGTGGGTAGTGTCAATCCAGACTTGAATCTGCCCCCATGTAGCTTTTTTTTGTTTTTTGGTATTCTTCCTTCTCTTATCTCTAGTTATAATCTTTTTTTTTTTTTTTTTTGGCTAGTAGAAGAAAAAAAAAAGCCCGAGGTGAATCTACTACGTCAAATACAGAGTGCAGTGTTTATGAAATGCCCAGGATTCCTAGCTATGCCCCTGTTTATGCCTAATTGCCAAAAAGTAGACATTGGGATGAGGGTGTTGTTTCATCACGATGTTGATGTTCATGCCTCTCCCTGTGCGTCCTGAACCCTTCCTCCATTTGTTTATAAAATGATTGCTATCACTGGTCAGATCCAGCATTTTTAAACTGCATGACCAGTGTGGCTTGGTGATGAGGTGTTCATCACCCAGCATCTAACATGCCAATCTTACTGGGCTTATGAAACTTGTGTGTATTGAGGAAAGAGAGGAGAATTCCCTCCCCAAACCCAAACTCGTGAAAACTACTACTAGGGATCATACGTAGTTCTTTGTGCTTGGAGGGTTTTCTGATGTTCCTTCACACATAAGTTGCAATCAGTGAATTCACAGGAAGGACAAATATTAATCCCTCGTTTCCCCACCTGCCCTCTTTGGACTTGGTAACTGTGGAGAAGAGGGGTTGACTTTAAGCATCATGGGGGGGGGGATAAGGGGAGGTTTAGCATTTATTTTTATCAAAGCACAAATGCCAAGCAGATCCACCTGCTACCTGAACCTCGGGGTGGGATGATCATTGGGCCAGTTTGCCTTGTAAATGCTTTTTATGTCATTAGAGCGATAACTTTCATGGGTGTCAAACTCATGGACTGTACAGGGAAGTTACTATTGGACTGTTGATTAAACATTAATCCTTTTGGCGTAGGAAATCCCCAGCTCTTCACAGGCTTCCTTCCTGAGACATGAGGCCATTGAAAGGAAGAGCTGGTAGTGACTTGTGCCTCTAGACTGTCCATATGCCATAGCCAGTGTTTGGGGCTTTGCATTTTTACGTGAGAATTGCCTCTCGGTTCCTTCTCTGATCCGTCTACTGACCTTTCCAGCTGTTTGGGGGCCATTTCAGCACTGGACATGCCTTCAAGTTTTTGCAGGGGGAGCTTTGAGATTGCCGTTGTGTTCCACCTCATACCTACTGTTATTACTAGTCAAATTGACAACAGTGTTAGGGGCCTGGAAAGCTGTGTGACTGGGGCAGCTAGGGGGTGGTGAGAAGACGTGGGAGTGGAAGCTGGAAGCCACCTGCTGAGCAATCCTGGGATGCTTCAGTGACCCCAAGGTCCCCATGTGGGTGTGAAGTCAGCATTTCATCCCCGTGTTTGGAATGTGGAGAGCTTGGTGCTGATGTACTTATAAAGAGGATGATTGTAAGCATTTTTTCCCCTTAATGTGTGTTTTTGTAACTATAAACATTTGAATAAATTACCCTGGTATGGGAAGGTGAATTGTTGGGGCCTGTTCAATATTCACAAAGAGGAGAAAGATGCTTTGGAGTGTTTGGGCTCTAAATTTCATTTGTGGCAGAAGTTACATTTGGGCTCTTGTCTGAGTGGTCTTTTAAAGTCAAAATGTCATGAGTTAGAAAAGACTGGGATGTCAACAAAGGCCAGAACCTTACTTAGAGCACGGAATATTCAAGCCAAAGAAGAGACCTTAGAGGAGGTAGTTTAGTCACAGAATAGAAAAGGTCCTTAGAGATCATCTAATCCAACCTCATTTTTTAAATTTATTTTTGGTGAGGCAGTTGGGATTAAGTGACTTGTCCAGGGTCACACAGCTAATAAATGTCAAGTGTCTGAGGCCAGATTGAACTCGGGTCCTCTTGACTTCAAGACTGGAGCTCTATCCACTGTGTCATCTAGCTGCCCCTCTCACTTTTATTTTTAAAAATAAGTTTTGTTCACACTGGTTTCTAGAAAGCTCCTCCCCCCATTAGAAAATAGTTAAGCAAATCCACCCAACACAGTGTTGGTAATTGAGGTGTGTGCCCTACTATGCTCTCTCCTCCTGTGCCAGCCCTGACCAGTGGGCTTGCTCTGGGGGCCTTCCACCCTGTTGTAGTCACGTAGCCGATTCTGCATTCATTTACTTTCTTTCCTTGTTTCTCTGAATCTCTTAACCTTTTACAACTCAGTGTTCCATCACACAGGGAGTAAGGAGCCGTCAAGATTAGCTTTCTGAAGCCGTGACACCATTGCTGTTTTATCAGTGGGCAAATTGGGCCCAGAAAGGGGAATGTGATTTGCCCAAAGTCTCAGAGCTAGTAAATGATGCACTAGAGACTTGTCTCCTGTCTCTCAGTTCAGGGCTCTTTCTACCTTCCACATCTCTAGGTCTCTAGTCTTGTCATGGACAGCTACGTGGCACAGTGATAGAATGCTGGGCCTAGAGTCAGGAAGACTCATCTTCCAGAGCTCAAATCCAGCCTCACACGTACTAGTTGTGTGACCCAGAGCAAGTCCCTTAACCCTGTTTGCCTCAGTTTCCTCATCTACAAAGTGATCTGGAAAAGGAAATGGCAAACCACTCCAGTATCTTTGCCAAGAAAACCCCAAATGGGGTCGTGAAGAGTCACACGACTGAAACAACAGGTGTCATAGATAACTGACCTGCTACGTTCCTCTATCTAAAAAAACAGGAAGAATAGTAGAAATTACCAAACACAGCTCTAATTCAGAGATCACACTGCCAGGGATTTTATGAGTGAAGCAGCGAACCTTGACGGACTAATTATAATAAGTCTGTTATGTTACTATACTGTTAGGATAAGAAGTACCTAGAGTCGAGGCAAAAGCAACTAAGTGTCGTTGGAAATTAAATTTGGATCAGTTCCAGTTTCGATGTGCTAGTTCAGCGAGTCTCGTAAGTTTTTTGTTTCCTCTCCTGGGGCAGGAATTAGAAAAATGTCACAAGCTGGTTCTTTGCCTCTGAAAAAGGACCTCCACCCTTATTGGCCACCCCATTGCTCCTTTGGTCAGAATAGTTCTTGAAATGGTCGTCATAGTGAGGGGTTAGAAAGAGTTTAACGGCAAAAAGGGACTAGTTAAAATAGGAACAGAAGATCAGAAAATACGGCAAAACCCCCTATTTGTCAGGAATAACCTTGGAAATGGAAAAGGCTGGTTTTGTAAACAATGTTCTTGGGAAATGACCATCTGCAGGGTCTACAAGACCCGCACCACCAAATAAATCCCTTGGGCATTGTGGCCAAAGAGACCTTAGGCCAGGACTGTGGATTCCTGAGCCTGAAAAATGAACACGCCTAATCTACTGTTCTTGCCACTCTTACAAAATGGGGTGTTTTGCCTGGAAAAGAGAGCATACTGTCTACTATTGATGGGTGGAAGCATTTTCTACTTTGTATAAGAAAGGACCGTAACAATTAGATCCTTCCAAAACTAGAATGGAATGTCTTTTGCAGAGATATTCAAAGGGAGGTAGGATGTTACTGAAGGGGCATGTAGATTGAGTAGGGGCTAAACCTAATGATTGCTTATGTCCCTTCTGAGATTCTGCGATTTTTTTAAAAAGGATGAACAGGAACAAAATGCATGAGCCCATGTGTCTGTAGCTAATCACTTCCACACTCTCCGGGAAAAATTTAAGTGCTAACCTAAAATTCCCTTCTGGTATATTTTGACAACACAGGTACAGAATGGGGCCATTGAATGTTTCGTA